AAATCGAAAAATCGAAAAATCGAAAATCAAAAAAATCGAAAAATCGAAAAATCGAAAAATCGAAAAATCGAAAAATCGAAAAATCGAAAAATCGAAAATCGAAAAATCGAAAAATCGAAAAATCGAAAAATCGAAAAATCGAAAAATCGAAAAATCAAAAAATCGAAAAATCAAAAAATCAAAAAATCGAAAAATCAAAAAATCGAAAAATCGAAAAATCGAAAAATCGAAAAATCGAAAAATCAAAAAATAAAAAAATCGAAAAATCGAAAAATCGAAAAATCGAAAAATCGAAAAATCGAAAAATCGAAAAATCGAAAAATCGAAAAATCGAAAAATCGAAAAATCGAAAAATCGAAAAATCGAAAAATCGAAAAATCGAAAAATCGAAAAATCGAAAAATCGAAAAATCGAAAATCAAAAAAATCGAAAAATCGAAAAATCGAAAAATCGAAAAATCGAAAAATCGAAAAATCGAAAAATCGAAAAATCGAAAAATCGAAAAATCGAAAAATCGAAAAATCGAAAAATCGAAAAATCGAAAAATCGAAAAATCGAAAAATCGAAAAATCGAAAAATCGAAAAATCGAAAAATCGAAAAATCGAAAAATCGAAAAATCGAAAAATCGAAAAATCGAAAAATCGAAAAATCGAAAAATCGAAAAATCGAAAAATCGAAAAATCGAAAAATCGAAAAATCGAAAAATCGAAAAATCGAAAAATCGAAAAATCGAAAAATCGAAAAATCGAAAAATCGAAAAATCGAAAAATCGAAAAATCGAAAAATCGAAAAATCTAAAAATCTAAAAATCTAAAAATCTAAAAATCTAAAAATCTAAAAATCTAAAAATCTAAAAATCTAAAAATCTAAAAATCTAAAAATCTAAAAATCTAAAATCTAAAAATCTAAAAATCTAAAAATCGAAAAATCGAAAAATCTAAAAATCGAAAAATCGAAAAATCGAAAAATCGAAAAATCGAAAAATCGAAAAATCGAAAAATCGAAAAATCGAAAAATCGAAAAATCGAAAAATCGAAAAATCGAAAAATCGAAAAATCGAAAAATCGAAAAATCGAAAAATCGAAAAATCGAAAAATCGAAAAATCGAAAAATCAAAAAAATCGAAAAATCGAAAAATCGAAAAATCGAAAAATCGAAAAATCGAAAAATCGAAAAATCGAAAAATCGAAAAATCGAAAAATCGAAAAATCGAAAAATCGAAAAATCGAAAAATCGAAAAATCGAAAAATCGAAAAATCGAAAAATCGAAAAATCGAAAAATCGGAAAATCGAAAAATCAAAAAAATCGAAAAATCGAAAAATCGAAAAATCGAAAAATCGAAAAATCGAGAAATCGAAAAATCGAAAAATCTAAAAATCGAAAAATCAAAAAATCGAAAAATCGAAAAATCGAAAAATCGAAAAATCGAAAAATCGAAAAATCGAAAAATCAAAAAATCTAAAAATCTAAAAATCGAAAAATCGAAAAATCGAAAAATCGAAAAATCGAAAAATCGAAAAATCGAAAAATCGAAAAATCGAAAAATCGAAAAATCGAAAAATCGAAAAATCGAAAAATCGAAAAATCGAAAAATCGAAAAATCGAAAAATCGAAAAATCGAAAAATCGAAAAATCGAAAAATCGAAAAATCGAAAAATCGAAAAATCGAAAAATCGAAAAATCGAAAAATCGAAAAATCGAAAAATCGAAAAATCGAAAAATCGAAAAATCGAAAAATCGAAAAATCGAAAAATCGAAAAATCGAAAAATCGAAAAATCGAAAAATCGAAAATCGAAAAATCGAAAAATCTAAAAATCTAAAAATCTAAAAATCTAAAAATCTAAAAATCTTAAAATCTAAAAATCTAAAAATCTAAAAATCTAAAAATCTAAAAATCTAAAAATCTAAAAATCTAAAAATCTAAAAATCGAAAAATCGAAAAATCGAAAAATCGAAAAATAAAAAAATCGAAAAATCGAACAATCGAAAAATCGAAAAATCGAAAAATCGAAAAATCGAAAAATCGAAAAATCAAAAAATCGAAAAATCGAAAAATCGAAAAATCGAAAAATCGAAAAATCGAAAAATCGAAAAATCGAAAAATCGAAAATCAAAAAAATCGAAAAATCGAAAAATCGAAAAATCGAAAAATCGAAAAATCGAAAAATCGAAAAATCGAAAAATCGAAAAATCGAAAAATCGAAAAATCGAAAAATCGAAAAATCGAAAAATCAAAAAATCGAAAAATCAAAAAATCAAAAAATCGAAAAATCAAAAAATCGAAAAATCGAAAAATCGAAAAATCGAAAAATCGAAAAATCGAAAAATAAAAAAATCGAAAAATCGAAAAAATCGAAAAATCGAAAAATCGAAAAATCGAAAAATCGAAAAAATCGAAAAATCGAAAAATCGAAAAATCGAAAAATCGAAAAATCGAAAAATCGAAAAATCGAAAAATCGAAAAATCGAAAAATCGAAAAATCGAAAAATCGAAAAATCGAAAAATCGAAAAATCGAAAAATCGAAAAATCGAAAAATCGAAAAATCGAAAAATCGAAAAATCGAAAAATCGAAAAATCGAAAAATCGAAAAATCGAAAAATCGAAAAATCGAAAAATCGAAAATCGACAAATCGAAAAATCGAAAAATCGAAAAATCGAAAAATCGAAAAATCGAAAAATCGAAAAATCGAAAAATCGAAAAATCGAAAAATCGAAAAATCGAAAAATCGAAAAATCGAAAAATCAAAAAAATCGAAAAATCAAAAAAATCGAAAAATCGAAAAATCGAAAAATCGAAAAATCGAAAAATCGAAAAATCGAAAAATCGAAAAATCGAAAAATCGAAAAATCGAAAAATCGAAAAATCGAAAAATCGAAAAATCGAAAAATCGAAAAATCGAAAAATCGAAAAATCGAAAAATCGAAAAATCAAAAAAATCGAAAAATCGAAAAATCGAAAAATCGAAAAATCGAAAAATCGAAAAATCGAAAAATCGAAAAATTGAAAAATCGAAAAATCGAAAAATCGAAAAATCGAAAAAATCGAAAAATCTAAAAATCGAAAAATCAAAAAATCTAAAAATCGAAAAATCGAAAAATCGAGAAATCGAAAAATCGAAAAATCGAAAAATCGAAAAATCGAAAAATCGAAAAATCGAAAAATCGAAAATTCAAAAAATCTAAAAATCGAAAAATAAAAAAATCGAAAAATCGAAAAATCGAACAATCGAAAAAACGAAAAATCAAAAAATCGAAAAATCGAAAAATCGAAAAATCGAAAAATAAAAAAATCGAGAAATCGAAAAATCGAAAAATCAAAAAATCGAAAAATCGAAAAATCGAAAAATCGAAAAATCGAAAAATCGAAAAATCGAAAAATCGAAAAATCGAAAAATCGAAAAATCGAAAAATCTAAAAATCGAAAAATCGAAAAATCGCAAAAATCGCAAAATCGAAAAATCGAAAAAATCGCAAAAATCGCAAAAATCGCAAAAGACGAAAAATCAAAAAATCGAAAAATCAAAAAATATTATTTTTATTTTACTTCTTCTTGGTTAGTAATTTTCTAGATTTAATTCTGGGAAACTCAATAGTTTTCCTACGTACAAAGTAGTAGAAAATCAATTTACCTTTATGTTCATAGAAATCATATTAAAAAAATAAAACAAATTATTGAAAATATTATATTTGAATGAGAATTAAAGAATGGATCCCAAACTTTTTATATTGATTTTTGGTAATGTCAGAATTTGTTCAAATTTTAGTACGTTACTTTTCAAGTCATTATGGGCAACTTTCTTATGGACCTCACGTTAGCAGCTGTTCAGGGTGAGCTGTTAGAATGAGTCAAAAGAAAGGTGTGAGAATTACAACTCTTAAGTAGTTCATGTTTTTTCCATGACATGTGTTAATGCTTACTTCCACTTTAATTACTATACTAAAAACTACATTAATTACTAAAATAAGGTACATTTTCATGTATCACCATAATTAGAACATGACTTCTGATCACTTATTTGTTATATTAAATACTAGATAATATTTATAAATAATACAGGGTGTGACAGAAAGACATAAATAATAATTAAAACAAAAATATAAACAAAAATGTAACGATATACAAAAAAATAAGTAGGAGTAAATAAAAAAGCGAAAAAATTCACATATTTTTTTATTTAATTACTATAATAGCATAATGATTATACTCAATTAAACATATAAACAGCAAGTTAAAAAAAAGATTAAAAAATAAAATAAAATTAATGAGAGACTTGAGTTTGAAGCTGAGAAACAAGATGATCAATATTGGGATCAATATCACTAGTAACATTTGTAAGCCGAGTACGATGCTTATTTTTATTAAATTCGATGACTGAAAAAAGCTGATCACATTTATACGTGCCTTCAAATGTGCAAATTGTTTTTCGTTCGAAAACTCTCAGCTGTGAATAACTTTTCTTTAGAAAGGTATGTTCTGTAAAATTCGGCTAGTTCCACATCATCAAATTTAGATTTTAAATATGAGTCTTCTTGAAGCTCGGTCAACTCCATTTGTTGGTGAAGGGGCATTCTCCACATTACACTTGCAAGGTTTTACAAAAATGTCGAAAGTGCTATCCATATTTTAAAAATCGGAAAATCGATCAGTAAATTGCTCGGACAGTAGTTTCAATTCATCAGCATAACGAATATATTCAATGTTTTCATGACTGGATAATTTTGTAAAATGAAAACAGTTTTTACTTCTCATTTGTGTTTCCCACAAGCGAATTTTGTTTTGAAAGCTATAAGATGACTGTACAGCTGATTTTCCAATTGCCTCTGTTTTTAAAGCTTTAAGTCAGGTCGTTTAAGTGTCCTGTGATGTCTACCAGGAATGCTAAGTTACAAAGCCAAGTAGGATTACAAATTTGCGGCAGTGTTTTCTCTTTTATTTCCATCAAATCAGCTATTTATTTTCTTAGTTCATAAAATCTTTTTCGCATTTTACCTTACTTCGCAATAATATGTCATCATCGTGTTCTGAAGAGAGTTCATCCAAAAATGCTTTAAACTGGCGATGGTTAAGACAGAGGGATCTAATGAAATTTACTACCACATCCATAACATTCTTCAATCGAATGGACTTAGAGTCTTGTTGGTAAATAATACAATGTAGAATTATTAAATCACATTCTTGCACATTCATAGCAGTTGTTCTTTCCTTCAGAGTTCCCACAAAACGTTTTCGTGAACCGATCAATAAAGGCGCACCATCCATGCAATTTACACCACTGCAAAAATACTTTACACTACAAAAGTACTTTGCACCTCGGAAAAAAATATCTTTTCCAGTAGCGATCTCTTGTAGCGACCGTAAAGCCAGTAATTCAACTTCTTCATCAACATCTCGTATAAAAATAGCTGTACTCTCATCCAAAGCAATCGAAAATGCTTGAAAACCAGCTAATGTATCGGTCAACGTTTATTTGATATCACTAGCCATCATACATCGAACGTCGCGATAAGTTCACTTTCTCAAACTCTTTCTTCTTTTCTGGGCACAAAAATTCTGCAACGTCTACTAGGCAGTCTTTAACAAATTGTCCCTCAGAAAATGACTTTGATATTTTCGCTATTTTGGATCTACTTATAAAACTAGCTTTAACAATACTGTCTAGATTTGATCTTTGTAAATAAAACATTTGTTGCTGTTTCCCTTAATCCGTAATGAATTTTTTAATTTTAGCCTTTCTTAACTGGCCAATGAGTGAATTATATTCAGCAAAATGCTTGCTGGAGTAATGCCACTTCATATTTTATTCTTTTAAAACATAAATTGTTTCATTGCACAACACACACATAGGTTTACCACTGTCTAACATAAAGAAGTATTCATCATTTGTCTTAAAATTAACGACATTCTGTGTCCACTTTCCGCTTTTTTGAACCAGGCATGTTTTTGCTTGAATATTTCCCGCGTCCTACTTTATATCGTACGTGATTATGTGATGCGAACTACATATGATGTAACTTTAATATTTGTCCAGTTTATGCATGTCTCTTAGATTTCCAAACTGGCCTGTAGATGTACTATTCCTCTTACTGAGGTTCTTTTTATTTCTAAACCTGTAGTGGCTCCAAACTCCAATTAGCGTAGTTTCTTTAAGTAGCGTAGTTTTTCCAAGTCCGAACTCCAAGCTCTATGTTCCAAACCCGAAGTTTCGAGCTCGAAATGAGTTCCGAGTTCCAAGCTCCAAACTCCACATGATTTAGAATAAGCTCCAAGTTACGTAGCTTCACAAAGCTTCCTAGTCTCCAAACAATCTCTAAGTAATGTCGAAGTAGCCCTAAGAATTGGCAAGGATTAAATATCATAAGTTATCATAACACGAAGTTTTTTAATAAAGTACTACAAATACTGTATAAGGTTTTTATACAAGAATATATTTACATTTAGAAGTAAAGTGATAAAGTGACATCTGTACTGTAGAGTAAAAATCAGAAAGTGCTTTTTAATTTGAATATGCCTTCTCAGTCATTAATTCAAGTAAGAGTTAGTAGAATTATTTCTACATTTAAGTAGACATAGCCAAACAGAATTCGTTTCAAGACTTTATGCAATATTTAATATTTACCAAGTTTTTCGTTAAATGTGTTTTTGTAATTCTTATTTATTTATGTAGCTCTATCAAACCCTGTTTTACTTATAAAAATTAGGTATATAATATGAAATGAAACAAAAAAAGATGGTAAACATGAAAAATGCACCATATATCAGTAACTGATATTCCTAATTTTATAAACTTGATGTATGGTTTATTTTGCAAAGTATAAATAAGCATGAACAAACTATATACAACATGACATAAAATTTATGGAAAAAACAAGAATTACTTAAGAATGGTTGAGATATAAAAATAGTAGTTCTACAATCGTTCTAACAGCTCACCCTGTAGAGCTGCAAACTTCAAGTTTATTAGAAAGTTGCCTCTAAAGACCGGAAAAATAACATAATAAAATTTAAACAAATTATGACAGTATGCAAAATCAAAGATAATTACTACCTCGACCATACGTGACTATTTTGAGTTCGATTCCTACATTCTTTAACGTGAAAACGTTTAGTTTTCCATATACACCGCATATCTATTAATTCCAAATATATAATTTTCTATTTATGATTAAATTTTGTTGATGTAAATTAAAACGAATTTTTCTCAACTATATATATCCGTAATATCCCTAAGGGTTTTAGTAAAATCCAAGTTACTTTTAAAACTAGACCTCATAATTACATATTGACATAGGTTGAACTAATCTAACAATACGCCAATAACTATAATACAAAATTAAACCAAAAACGTCAAACTGTAAATAAATAAGTAACTTCCGGCAACATTAATAGGGCTGCTTTTAATTATATAAATATTGATTATAACTATTATAACTAATATAAGGCAGATATTTGAAATTTTAATAACAATAATATTAATAATTAAATTCAAAAATAAATAGACATATTTAAATTTAACATGAAAATAAATTTCTCAATATATAAATAGCTACCAAAACTATGTAAATATACCAGCGGATTCCATAAGCAGGCCTCCTGCCACAGACATGGATCTCGACAACAGCGCTATCTACCTCATCTAACTATAGCTAAGAACCATCCAGGTAACACAATAAGTAGGTACAAAGAAAAAATCAAAATCAGTCAAACCGTTTAGGAGAAGAAGAATGACGAACACACGCACACCGGAATTTTATATATAAAGATAAAAAAATAAAGCTGTGTGCGGAATTTTCTGGCGCCTTCGTCACTTTAAACTTGCCCAACTATCAAAGTAGTTAGCTTTATAATTTTGTTTTTATAATTCAAGCATATAAAGCGACATCTTTTGTAATCGCATCAAGTGTCAAAACGATCTACTTTACGCAACCAGTTGCATAAAGTTAAACATTAGGAAACTTTTGTTTTAATTTTTTTGTGGTGAAGGAAAAATCCGTTAACGGACCCCCGATGCCAAAGGGATCATCGGTGAGTGTGGAGTTTCTTACAAGCGATCTATACCCACTGAAAAATCTCAACCTGTATCCTTTCTAAGCTCTGGTTTCGGCTTTCGAAGATATTCTTAGGAGCTAGGGGTAGGTCTTCTATCCCTCTTCATCATCCTTCTCTTTTGTTCTCATAATTCAAATAACGTAATTATGTACTGTGTCCCAGTTTTCTTTGAATTTGCAGTTTTGTTAGGTTGCTCTCCTTAAGTCTCTCTCAGTGTCGCCTCTTGAGAATACCGATGTCGCCTCTACTTCCTTATGTCCTGCATACTATCTTGTGCACTCGAACAGTGTATGTTTTGGGTCATCTATTTCTGGGCATGCAGTCATCACTGTCACTGTTTTGTATTCGATTTAGATACTTCATAAAACAGACGTGAACCATCAGCTTCTGTGTTATGATATACCCCAGTTGTCTGTGGCCGCATTTCTCCCAAACTATAAAGTCCGGGAGCAATGTAAAGGGTGTTCAAATTTGACCTTCGGATTTAATTTAATAATAAATCACAAAAACCTTTGAAATATTTTAATGGTATTGTATTATTTTAAAGTTTAAATGTTGCGGTTAATATTGAAAAATTATATCCGGCCTGTGACCCCCTCTGCTTCTTTATCATGCTAACATTCTCTTTCCAAAATTTTCAATAACATTTTCGCAAATATTCTGTTTAATTTCGTCAATTTCTTGAATAATGTTAGCTTGAAGCTGTTCAGGTGCTTGAGGGTTATTAGCATAAACATCAAAAAGCCCCACAAGAAATAATCCAGTAGTATAAGGTCGCTCGACCCAGGCGGACAATTAACCTCAGCTCTTCGAAAAATTATTCGATTGTCAAATCTATCCCTTAAAAGATTTAGTGTTTTATCCGATCTGTGGCAAGTGGCACCGTCTTGCTGAAACCACATATTCTGGATATCCATACCTTCTAATTCCTTCCACAAATAATCTCTAATCATTGTCCTGTATCTTGCTTCATTCACAATTATCGCATCACCAGCTTCCTTTTTAAAAAAATAAGGACCAATAACGTCACCAGATTAAAAACCACAGCAACATTTCTCTTGGATTTTCTTCACCCCATATTTTGCTGTTGAAATCTCTTCATAAAACTCGCAATAACTTTAACAGATGGTGCTAAATTTCTTTCGAAATGCATACGGCATCTTCTTGCAGTTTCAGCAAAACATTCCCCATTTTGGTGATACGTTTTCCCAATAAAAACGGGGTTTTCGATGAACCGTTGTTCCATGTTGACCAAAAAACAAGTATCCGCAAAGTTTTTACATATGTCACCATAGAAATACTATTAATAAATATTACCAAAAATGGCGGTCAATTTAAATCTGAATGTTAAAATTGGGCACCCGATATTTGTTCATTGCGGCACCTCGGTTGTCACTGATCACTCTCTTTGATACTTTTCAATGGTCTGGCTTCTTATTGCAGCCCTCATCACTTCGCTGCCTTCTTTTATTTTATAAAGTATGATCCTCTTCTCCGCTAGGAGGTGTATGGGAATGATTCCCGTCACCGCGTAAAGTGCCTTTGTTGAGGTCGTCCAGTACGCAGAATAGGCCCTTTCTGTCACCCTTAGTGCTTATGATTTTTAGGTCCATGTACCATATCGAAGCACCATACAGCAGGATAGACTGTATGACTCCGTGCAATACTGTACGCCTCATACGCTTCATATGTTCCGCATCAGCCGACCCAAAATTGCCGCTCTCCTTCTGGCCTTCCTCGCTGCCTTCTTAATATAGGGACCGAAACTATCTCTGTCACTAAATGTTATACCTAGGTACTTCAAGGTCCTCGTCGGTATGATATTGATTTCTTCCAGATTGAACCGTGTGTTTTCTTTCTTTTGGTTACCTCTCAGTACGACTGCCTCGATCTTCTCCTTAGCTAGTTCTAGTCATTGTGCCCTGATCCAGCGTGCAACCACCTTAAAACTCTCTTCCACGATTTCTATTAGCTTTTCCTTATCGTTTACGAGCGCTACTAGACAAAGGTCACCGGCAAAGGACACCACTTCTGTGTTTTCGGGGTACTCGCTTTTCAGTATTCCATCATAGGCTATATTCCAGAGTGTGGGATCTAATACGTATCCGTGTGGAACTGCTATCGTAATTTCCATTATCTTTCCTTTGTCATACTCGATCTTTCTAGATGACAAGTATTCTCCTAGTATATTGAGCAGATATTTAGGTAACTCTTGCTCCTTAAGTTCGCCCATTATGACATCTCATCTTATTGCGTTTAAAGCGTTTTTCATATCGAACGCTATGAGGGCTGCCCATCCAGTCCTTAAACCTTCACTGCCTTTACTGTTTGATGGCTTGTTCTAATCGCTCCCTTAGAACCTCGTAGAGCTTTCTCAAGGTGTTCA